TAAAAATATTAATGAATCCTTACGTTTGATGATGCCCGTGATAATGGGGAGCGGGATCTGGAGAGGGGCCTTGGATGGTCATCTCCTCTGCCACCTCCCCGCCGCCTTCCACCATCACGACCACTGCCGCCGCCGCCGCCACCAACTCCCCTGCCACTGCCGCCGCCGGCGACGCCACTGCCCCTGCCTCTGCAACACCACCTCCCCGACGCCTTCTGCCACCACGACCACTACCGTTGCCGCCGCCACTACCACCAACTACACCCCTGGGCTTGGCTACAATATAAATTACAATTGTATACAATATAATAATACGACTGTTATTAAGGAATATGTAAAGTAAACACTCACCGCAATCCCGGGAGAGGTGGCCCTCTCTTCCGCAATTGTAACATTCTGAAACGGGTAGATATTATTTTAATCGTTTCCAATTTTATACAATATATATATATTAACCAAATGTATGCTTACGTCGGGCGCGGTTTTCTGGTGGGCTTTGTTCACTACTTTGGCCCATGTAAAACTGGCAGTTCTTAAGGTTTTTGTAAATATTGCTCATTCTAAAGTTAATAAATAAAAACAAATAAAGAAAGTTGAAAAAGACAATTGATTGGTCTGCATTATTAGGTTGGTGATATTATAAAATATTAAATTCGTTAAACAAAAAGCATGTGGTGCACACTCAAACAAAGCCACTGTTTTCTTCGCAAATGTAAATGGTATAACAATATCATTTGATTAATGCGATCGGAGGTGAACGTGTTAAAAACAAAAAAAAAAATAGAAAAAATATTTAATTTGTTTCACAGAAACTATGTGTTGCAGACAAAACTAAGGCTCGATTTTCTTCGCAAATTTATATATTATTACAGTAAGATATTATTAATTTATAAATACAATCCGCGTTGGACGTGTTAAAAAACAATCCAATGTTTCTTATTATACTCATTCTAAAGAAATAAAGAAAGTGTATAGTAATACTTTTATATTATTATAAATAATGTACCTCATGTACGTACGCTTGGCAATTGCCGCTAATGTTCTATGCATTGTTAATCATTCTAAAGTTGATGAATAAAAAGCAATAAAGAAAGTGTATAGGAAAACGAAACTTTAAGTGATCTGTCGGTATTATTATATGCTGATGGTATGATAAAATATTAAATTCGTTAATCGGAAAGCATGTGTTACATTATATTAATTGATAAATTACCTACGATCTGCGGTGTAAAAAAGGTTTTTAAAAAGCCACCAATTAAATTAATAATACAATGTATACTCACGTGTTTCTGGTTCAGACGGTTTGAATGAAATGATTTTAAAGTCGGAAGTCGGCGCAGTCCTTGGTCTTAGAACGGCGACAATAACAAGACTCAAGGCAGGTAACCCATGCGGGTAACGATATCGCACGGCCGATTAATTAATTTATTGTATTGACAAATTAATTTTTTTTTTTTTATATTATTCATTCGAACACGGCATTAAACCTTACACTTTTGGCCATCGTTCTTATTTCATTTTTGCAAATTTTTTTTCATATGGTCATAATAATGCCTTAGGACCATCACTCGATTTCATTGATACACACGCAAAAATGGTTTTCAAACATTCCCGCCTTCGACAGAATACCGCCAAACCTGTAGGCCTTATCACCGACCGTTTATCGTCTATCCACTCGGCGGTATCAGCGGATAACTTCCCGCCTATTATGTGATACGAGAGACATTGGGTCTGACATCATGTCGGTGCGCGGAAACGTTTCCGTGTTTTTCGGAGGACCATGGGGAAACAAAATCCCAATCAGCTGACCGAGTTTCGCTTCTAAATCGCTCTACTACTATAAACGACAAAAACTATTAAACGCAGCCGCCCGACTTGCTAGACACTCAACAAATCACGGCGAATAAATTACGACTAGCACGGGCGCCCGGAATGTTATTATTAATAAATATTTGATTTACGTCATTTGGCGTTTTCATGCCGTGACCCGGACGTCGCACTATCCGACGGAGTAAGATTGTCTACCAGGGTTACTACGTCCAACGTCGAGGAACGTGACCGACCTGCTAGACACCAAAACATATAAAAATTTCCCCAAACACTATTACTACGGCGAACGTCATTCTAGATGACCAAACTGCTAGAAATCCACAAAAATACGACGACTATATTATTTTTTATATTACATTTTACTATATTAGATTTTCGTAATCGTGTGTAGGTTTTGCGTTATGATTCATGTCCTATGTGCAGTAACGTCGAGGAAGGCGACTGACCTGCTAGACACCCACAAAAATTACTTTATTATTTTTTTACCAAATTTCGAATTTCCGGCGGCGTCGTCGAAAAGACTCTGTCAATGACTCTGCCCTGGCTACCACGGGCTACCACGTCGAACCGCAGTGGTCCTAGCCTTATCACACATCCTTATCGGCATACCACCTCTTCGCCGATATACCGTGTCGGCTCGAGACCGCAAGTCCACACCACGTCGAGGCCACCAAAATGCTGAATTGATGTCCAGTGATGTAAAATATTTACAGTTTCTAGCTTTAATTATTAGGTCATCAATTAACGGAAAGGGTTGAGCTTGGGGTGTCACAATTGTATTTAAATCTCTAAAATCAATGCATAATCTAGTCTATACTATATAAAGCGTGAACCCGAGGGCGCCCCCTATGCGTTAAATCCGAACCATCGTAAGAGAGAGCCAATGAGAAAATTCAATTTCCCCGGAGGGCGGTCTCCGCGTTATCACTCCTCCTTATCGCTTCTCACGATTTTTCTCGAAATTCACGATTTTTTTTCAAATTTTTCGAATTTTACCCCGCCCGGTTCCTCGGGCGGTCCCGTTCGGACCTTATTCGCGTTCCCCGCTAGATTTACTATTACGAGTACGCCGTACGCGCGGCCCTACTTTTTTCCCGGCGGGCCCGCGGCGGCGGATATCGCGTGCGAACCGAGCGCCGCCGTCGACGCGCGTTTTTTGCCGTTTTTTTCGAAAATTCGAGTTTTAGGCGTTTTAGGGCGTATCGACCTCCCCGTTTGGATCTCATTCGCGTTCCCCCTAAATTTATTGTCGGCGCGCTGCCCTATTTTTTCAAAAACGTGTCCCGGCGGACGAATCGATCGCCGAGAGCGCCGCGTCGTCGCCGTTTCGACGGTTTTCTCGACTTTTTCGACTAGAGTCGCGTTTGGCACCTCTACGAGTCTCCCGACCTCCCCGTCGGCGACGTATTCGAGTTCCCCGCTAAATTTATAGCCGGCGCGCGGCCCTATTTTTTCAAAAACGAGTCCAGGGGAGGTTAAACGTGAACGGAAACGTGAGTAGGTACCGTGTATGTATCGCTATATACAGGCATAAATACTTGCGTCGCGTCGTTTTTTGCGAAGCCGCCGCTGGGTTATCACTCCTCCTTATCACTTTACACGATTTTTTTTCAAAATGTTCGACTTTTACTCCCCTCGGGGCCTCGGGCGGCCCCGTTCGGACCTTATTCGCATTCCTCGCTAAATTTACTAAGTCCGCCGTACTTTTTTCTCTGCGGGCCCTCCGCGGCGGATATCACGTGCGAACCGAGCGCCGCCTTCGCCCGCGCTTTTTGCCGTTTTTTTTTCGAAAATTCGAGTTTTAGGCATTTTGGGGCTTATCGACCTCCCCGTTTGGATCTTATTCGCGTTCCCCGCTAAATTTATAGCCGGCGCGCTGCCCTACTTTTTCAAAAACGAGTCCCGGGGAGGACCGGCGTCGCTTAAACAAGAGTAGGTACCGATTGGGTATCGAGTAGGTACCGCTATATACAGGCATAAATACGTGCGTCTCGAAGTTCGATTTTTTTCGCAAAGCTCGGGTATTATACGTCCGAGGGCGGCGGAGCCGGTCGTCTGCTCGCCGACGCGGTCGGATCGCCCGCTCAAACGCCCTTTGCCGCCGTCCAAACGGCGTTCGCTTTTCGCGAGCACGGCGACGCGGCTTAAGAGTCATACATTTGACTCAGATTTTCATCTCAGTAGGTGGCTAGGTTGGTTAGGCGTTAGGACAGGTGACTCGAGGGTTGTGGTTTCGAACCCGCCGCCCGAAAATCGATAATTTGCGACGGCCGTGATAAATTGAATTTTTTTTTTCGTCGTTTCGCTATCACTTCCGTCTTATCATTTTTAACGTAAATGTTCTGATTTTTTTTCAAAATTCGAGTCTTAACGCCTCTACTGACTTCGGACCTCCCCGTTGAAGACTTATTCGCGTTCCCCGTCAAATGATTTAGCAGAGCGGACAGTGTCTTTATTACTATACATGGGCGTGAATATAATATGCGACGAAGAGTTCGATTTCTTTTCAAAAATTCGAGTTTTAGCTCCTTTTGGTCGTATTACCCTCCCCGTTTGAATCTTATTCGCGTTCCCCGCTAAATTTATAGCCGGCGCGTGGCCCGGTATGCTGACAAATAGATCCCGCGTCATCAAGATCCCGGTAACCATTCTGATAAGAATTGATACCAGGTCCGAGTCATTCAGATCCCGAGACAAAATGATACTGATAGCGTTTTCCACCAGTCTGCACTGACTGCACCAGTGCACATTTTTATGTTCCACCGGCAAGATTAATGTGCACCGAGTGGACTATTTTATGTTTCACGTCAATGCACTACGCCAGTTTTTTGCACCGAGTGCAATGATAATCGCACGAGCCTTTTGAGGCGGTGTTTCTTATCAACCAGATTATTTTATGATAATATTAAATGATAAGACGTGTTAACGAGTTTATTTTGGTAGTTGATGTACACACTATAATGTGCATACACATGAATCATAGTTTACTTTTTAGTTTTTTCTGTCATAAAGTTATAACCACACTACCACAGAGACAGAAAAGATTCATTTTTCATTCTAATTCACAGAATAGATTAATTATTAGATTTAATCTATTCTGTGTTATAACTTTATTATTACTTTTTAAGTTATAACTTAAGAAAAATTATAAAGTGCAGTGTTACATCAATATGGATGAACCAAAAATTATAGCTCTTATGGAATACCTTTCGTCAAGTGACAGTGAAGAAGATATTGAAATCATTGAACACATATTATCAAAAAAAAAAAATATAATTCCGAAGATAAATAATTATATAACGGATGTTGTTCATGCGTATACAGATCCACAGGTTTGTATAATATTGAATATTAATTTACTTACACATTTATTAGACTACAATTGAAAAATTCAAATAGTTAAAAATGTGCCTATCTATTTAAACATCTTAAAATGTTGTTCATCACTAATTAGCTAGGTACTTATCTAAATATTAATATTCATATATTTTATAATGTAATATATTCATTTTATATTATAGTTTAAAGGCAGCTTTCGAATGGAGAGGTGTACAGCATACTACGTAGTCAAAATGTTCGAGGAGTCAATTTTTTTTCCAAAAAACAATTTAAGTGATCCTACCATCACATCTGAAAATCATATTCTCTCATTTATATGGTAAAATAAAATATTTTATTGTTCTTCATATTATGGCGTATTTAGGATTTGCTCAATAGGGTAGACAATAGGGATGGGAATATGGAATTATTTTTTGTATTTTTTATAAATAACTAAAAAATAATGTTACAGGTTTTCAGCAAATAAATGTAGCTTACGTGATGTTTCTGAAAGATTTGGAATTGGATTAACTACTCAGTTCCGAATAAACAACCGAGTTATGGACTTTCTTGTTAGTATTTCATCTAAATTTATTAACTTCAATGAGGGAAGCGTTGGTTTATCACAAGAGTTTCAAAAAGTATTTTTATGTTTTTTTTTTAAATGTTTGTCATATATATTTAACATTATCTATAACAATTAGGTGTCTGGGATGCCTGGAGTTATAGGTTGTATTGATGGGTCATCAATACCAATACGGATTCCCGCTCATAAAATAAGTATTATATTGTAATATAGTATTGTAATATAATAATATATAGCATTATATTATATTATATTAAAAATTTGTCATTAACTACCTACCTACCACTTTGAATTTAAAAGATATTGAAAATAAATTTAATTAAAAATATAAAATACTACCTATATTATACTTTATATTTTGTCTATGCAGTGTGAACTATATTATAATATACTCACTGCTTTCCAAGGATTTTCTATTGCAAGTATTGTCAAGATTTTCATCCTCTTCGTGATCACTTGAAGAGCTTAAGCAATTCCAATCAATCCTAACCGTTGGTTTTTGAACAGTCAAATCAATGTTTCTAAAATGAAATAAAAGAATATAGGTATGTATACTTCAAGAAATAAGGAACACACTATAATTAGAAATTGAATAGTTATTTTCTAAACATAAAGATAAAAATTTAATAACTTAGATTACCTTTCCGGAATCGATATTTGAATTTTTGAACTGCTTAATTCATTCAAATTTATTTCAATGGATCCATCTTCCTTACAACTTTTTAAAAAACTCAACAATGTGGGCAAACATTCCTTTGGATCTGATTTGTAAGAAATGCATTACACAAATAAACAGTTATGAGCAATTGTTACTAAACCAATAAAAGTAAGTCAATATTTTAAGTCAAGACAAAAATGAAAGTTAACAACAAATAGGGAGAGTTGTTTTATTAAAATATTAAGTGAACTTGAGAAAAAAGGCTAACATTCTTATACAAGTACATATTTCTGTATGAGTGTTCACAGAAAAATGTTAAAATATACAATCTACCAAACAGTTTTGTTTTTTTGTTTTTTATTTTTTATATACATATGATTATCATAATTTTAATACCTATATAATATAAATGAATTATGAAAATTTACTTTAAAATTAAATATGTAGTTCCACCTGTACATCAATACATTTTTCATAATGGATATAAAATAAATTGACTATTAATTTACGTAGGTACTTACCAGCTTGCTGAAAATAATCCAACGCCGATTCATCCACAACGAAATAGTAAGGTTCAGATCCTATTTTTATGACTAAATTGTGTCTAGCCATGATTTAAATTCAATGATGTACAATAGTACAGACTATTAAGAATTTTTAAATTATAAATTAAAATATTTCATACACAAACACAATATCAAAAATATTAAAAATAAATATTTATATAGGTTGGTAGTAGACAACTGACTATAGAAAATAATATAGGCAGTGGTACAAATATTTTATTTATATGTTAGTTATTTTCCTAACCTAACATTAATCAGAATTATGATAAAGCCGAAATGATAAAGAAAAATTTATGTTTCATCTGCTCTTGCATTGTGTTGCACCAGTACGATTATCAGTGAACTATTCCAGTGCACACTTGGTGCAAAAGTGCAGACCGGTGGAAAACGCTATGAGTCATTTAGATCCACCGACATTTATAGGTCCCAGTCTATTTGAGACATCTAGATCTATTTGTTATTATGGCGGCATTTTTAAAATCATGAAATATACCTCACCTTCAATCAAGTTATATTTTAACTAACAAATATGAAATAATGTATATAATATAATTTAGGTGACAAAAATATAGTTTATTTGTACTTATATTATTTTTTTGTATGTTCCTATGTCCCATTTCCTATTGAAAATAGGTATTACCATGATTAGAAATATGGTTTTATAATCAATGGTAGGTATTCACAGATATATAAACTTACTTTATATATCTGTACAGAGTTACTTTCAATATCTGTGATGGTATTACACTATTATCTTTATTATGATAAGTATCTCAGCTATCTTAGCATAGCTATTTTTAGTATATAGGTACCTAATTACACATTATAATTTATATTATTGTAATTCGAAGTTAATTAATTTTTACATCTGCAACACACCTTCTTTTGTAAATCGTTACACATCATAACATAGATATAGCCCATATAGGTACATAGTAATAGTTTGATTGTGTCTATTATTTAGTTTAGTAGGTACTAAAACCATTAGGTGTTGAAATAAGACTCGAGTAAACAGGTTAACTTCAATAAATTTAAAATCCAGCATAAAAACACCAATAAGTCGGAAAAACGTTAATTCAAGTCCAACTAATCGGATAGGCAGCGGATATTGCAAAATAGACTAAATAGACTGATCTAATTATCTAATACTAATATTTATATACTATACCGTATCACCGTACATTCTACCGCTACAATTAATGATAAAAGAATAGCAGCGGACGACTGTAGTACTGTACGGTACAGTGTACATAATAAAATAATAATAATATATAGGTACTAGTGTACTACACGTGCCTTACTGTCTTCGGTCGGATGGTCAAATTGTATGACGTTATAATATACGCCTAATCAAGTAATCGATATAAGTACTATGGGGAAGTTACTTATTTTTGGTAATTAAATTAAATTACGAATTCCTAATCAAAATTCGAACTAAATTATTTTTAAGTTACTTTTTTTTTATTTGGTTAAGTTACATTACTTTTGAGTTTAAAAAGTAACTCAATCACAATAGAAGTTACTTTTTTTTCTCAAAAAGATCACTGGAGATTTATAATCATGTTGTCAATACAACAATACATAAACTAAATAAGTAATGACAATCAACAATATGAAATTATTAACAGATACTCATTTTGGTACACTATCATTATTATTTTTTTTTTTTATTGAACTTAAGCCCGGCTATTATGACCATTAGCTGTTGTAGGGGATTATGAACCGAGGTTGGTAAGGTTGGTATGGTAAGATGTTGTTACTGTTGTTACGTTAGGTAAGTAAACACGTGTATGTGTGGCAAGGTTTTTACTACTACGAACCTGGGTGGTCACCCATCCGGGAACTAGTAGCAGCGGCCGTTACTCCCCAACACTGAATTAAGTAGGTATATACTATATAGACAGCGGGTTACAGCCCATGAATTTTTCATATGTTTTAAACCAATAAACGGTGGTAAATTACACAATATACTTTATAATAATCGAATTTAATTTCTTTTTATGTATATGTATGAATTCTTTGACAAACTATCTAGGATATTTAAGAAGTACGATTTTAAATTTTAAATTTTAAAGAACATTTAAATTAAGATGTTATTTTTAAAATTCCACGAAGTGATTAGGTAGGTACATACAATTTGTATTTACTTTGAGCACATCCGATTTTAAATAGCTTATAGTCTAGAAACGTATGAATTGAACCATTTTTTACATGCTTTTCTTTAACTCACAATGTTTCATTCCTGTTGTCTTCAAATCTTGCGCGCTCGATTTGAGGCACTTATTTACGATGAAAAATTCTGAAAATTGGTATAGACATAGGTTTTGGAAGGCAATACAATAATCCGTTGTTATTTTGGGACCCGGACTTCCAGGTCGGCGATGACGGGTGTGCAAAGTCATCTCCGAGGAAGAAGAATAAATAATATACAGGTACGAAATTTTGTTTATAAACGGTTTCCATGGGTTATAAAACTATTATAATAATAATTACTTTTAACTTTTAACGCGTTTCATTGTTAAAACAGTAAGAAATCGAAATTTTCGTAGGGGCTAAAGTTATGCTTAGAACAAACTTAAATGTATCTCAAGGACTTGTAAATGATGCAATTGGAAATATAACAGAGATTAACTGGCCCAATTTTGCTAGAGATCAACTTTATGATGAATGTATACCAAAATCAATTCGCGTCGACTTTGGAAAAGATGGTATCCATAAAATAGAGCCCATATCTATTCATTAAAATATAATATTACATAGTTGCTTATAATATTCAAATGTACCGAAAATAATAAATATTATGCTTTCAAAAAATCGTTTGTTTCTAATTTATAGTTCTCACTAAAAATTAGAAAATAAAATAAATAAAAAAATAATTTTTAAAAACATGCTTTTATTAATACTACTTAAAAAATGAACGAAAATGTTGAAAATAAACTTACTTTTAAAACAATTTCTTAATGAAACTTCAAGGTTAACAAGATATTACTAAAAGTGTTTATAAAATGTATTTGTTGAACAATTTTTAAAAATTCTGAATTACAAAAAAAAGAAATGCATGGGGCTCTTATGGGTCAGGAATATCTCTTACAAAATTGTGAGTGTGAACAATAGTCTTTAAAATATTTATCATAAAGTTTATCTAAAGATTCAGTTGTAGAGTGCCCTTACGTAGGAGTTATCATAAGTGCCCCATGCATTTCATTTTTTTGTAATCCAGAATTTTTAAAAATTGTTCAACAAATACATTTTATAAACACTTTTAGTAATATCTTGTTAACCTTGAAGTTTCATTAAGAAATTGTTTTAAAAGTAAGTTAATTTTCAACATTTTCGTTCATTTTTTAAGTAGTATTAATAAAAGCATGTTTTTAAAAATTATTTTTTTATTTATTTTATTATTATCTGAATTTGTATTGCAGTTATCGTTTGGTATAATGTATTTAATATTATATTATTTAAAACTACAATGGAACTTGAGGAAGTATGTACCTATGTTTAATTTATTACCGTTTTTAGTAATTTGTATAGTCGCATACAAACAAAAATATATTTCAATTTCCGCGACGATTTGACATATTCGTGCATGTGCGATATACTTATAAACCATAATCATAATGGATTACACACAGCATGTTAATATACTACTCACACAAAGAAACAGCCCAAATTAATAAATAAATTGCCTAAATATTACTCCTTAAAACCAGCACCTTTTAGACTATAATATGGGTCAGTGGCGTAGTTAGGAATTTCTTTTAAGGGATAGACATGTTTTACACACAAAATACTAAATACCTACTAAATAAATAAAATAAATACAGTGGTGAATGGCGAGTGGTAACTAATTGGTACCTACTATTTCATCAAAAATCCTAAAACTAATATAATACACACAAAAATACATAATTTAGTTTCTATAGAATATTATAATATATTTGCATGAATTCACTTTAGCTAACCGGAATTTTTTTTTTAAATATA